AAGAACCTGACATTCGATCGAACACATTATTAGACAGTTCTGAGGTGTTTATTTCCAGAGGATTTTTGGAGATAGCATCAGGATTTTGTATGTTGTTATTCATAAAGAGCCATTTTTCGCAGAAACTTTTCACTTTAGAGCATTGAGACAAGATGACGTTTTTTGTGTGAAAGAAATTGGCGCTTCAGAATCTACTTTTTATTCAACAATTTCTCTAGTGGCATGAATGTTTGGAGGGTTGGACCCTTACGAAGCGCTGAATTCTCCTTCACTGACATGTCCAAGGAAATTGATCAAGAGCCATGAGAGTAGTCATTATTGATGATGAAGTGTGTACGAAGGCGTAACTTCGTAGCTCAAACGGTTCCTTAGATAGTAGCAAAAAACAGATTTTTTTGTATTTTTTTGACGCCCTGTATCTCGAAAACGGAAGCCCAGAGAACAATTTCGAAAGGCAAAAAAATGTTTATTTTTCCATGAGAAATCTACAGTTTTTCGTTGGGACACTTATTTGTTAACACCCTGTATGAAGAAATACATTGAAAATTCGCAATCTCCATGTTATGGAAATATTAATTCTTTCTCGGTTTATTCAACAGAAAACAACTACTTTCCTGACTATATGCCACGACGAACATTGAATTATATCAATCTATTGAACACACACGATAAGAATTTGAAAACAAAATCTTCTGAAGTAGATATGTACATAATATCATTCTGAATATTCAACAGAAAAAAACTACTTTTCTGGCTATTTGCATCGTCGAACATTGAATTGTATCTGATGAATATCCAAAAAGAGAGCATGTAAAATCAAAACCCTCCGGAATTGAGAATTGACATTATCTGTCAAATCGAATAGAATAATATGATGAGAAAAAATTTCAATATCTACCTCCTGTCCCTATCCTCCCTAGGAACGCACGATTTTCTTTGAACATTATAGGGACTTCCTTTCGTGCGCTCCAAACGATAAAAAAAAGTATCAAGATATAAAAATATAACTTACCAATATGTTCAGTATTGAAATGTATAGAAGAAGTATAGTTGAATGAACTCTGATCTTGATGAGCTTGAAACTTTCGAAAAAATCATTCGTATCAGTGATATGGGAATTATATCTCTCACAAACAGGTTATATGACTTCAGTCGAATAAAAAGTTTATCTTTAGCTCCTAGGAACTGAAGTTCAACTTTAGCTCCTAGGAACTAAATGTGATGCCTAGCAACATACCTATTTTTGTGTCAGTAGTGGAAACGTCAATTCAAGAGCTAATTTTGGTATCAGAATGGACGACTTTCGTGTCAGTTGCAGAAAAACTATATTTTGCCTATCCGTAACAAAAATACAGGGCATTCTGGGAATCTTCGTTGAAAAATATTATAGAATATACAATTATATAAATCTTTTTCGAAAAGTATAAACCAAGTCCGATCCTGATTTCTTCTCAATAATACCTTTCCTCTTACTCTGCTGCTATATCAATGTGCAAAAAACTGATTCGAATACTTTTGGTCGAATTTAGAGAGTAATGGCCAGGACGAAAACGGAGAAAAATTCGCCTGAATTTTGTTTGATATTGTGATAGTGTGCTGTTCAGATTGAAATGCAACACTTGTTGTGTTTTTCCTGATCTTTCTAATTCTGGTGGAAGTTTTTGAAAAATACGATTCACAAAATTGAGATTTTGACATTACATAAAAAATGAGGTTTTTAAGTCCGGCTCTGGAATTTTTCGTCTATAGGAGGCCATCGTGTGGTGTGTCAATAGAGGCAAATTGCTGGTGAATTTCAGGCGAAAACATCATTACATTCCTGAAATATCGTTCATCAAAGTTCGCCTTGAATCCAAATAATGCCCTGTTTTTCTGTTAGTAATAGGCAGAATATATTTTTTCACATATACAGGGTGTTTGGTGCATCGTGTGCCAAATTGCAATGGTCGAATGAAGGGGTCATCTGCTATCCTTCATCAAGACTAGTTAACACCTTTCATGTCCTGTGGATTATTTTTAATCGAATTTTTATTTTTTCATCAAAAAATACCTGAATTCACATTCAAATACAAATTTTAAAAAAAGTATAAGACGTAGACTCTGAATTTTATCCAGATGTGTATCGTGTCAGAGTACTTTCAAATACAAAACTAGTGACATTTCATCTAGTTTTTTTTTTTAATTATCTCGCAAAGTTTCGAAATATGTGGAACTCGAATTAAAGCTGTGACTTTACATAGCTACAAAAAAAAACCAAAAGCGACCAGGATCTATCAACTCCCTCAAAAGTTCTCTAGTCTATCCTCTTGCTGATGATGTGTCAAATGCCAGAAATATCTTTCAACAACTTTATGAATTCGCTAGAATTGTGAATCGAGTCACATGAGGCAAATATTCAGAATTATTATTTGAATAATTATATTAGTGGATTATACTTGAGATAAACAAAAAATGAAATTGCATTTTTAACATTTATTTAGCAATCATCTCATGAACCTCACGAATCCTGCTCAAATTGTCGGCCTCTGTTGCAAATGCAGGCACGACATCTGTTTCGTATTTCGACAGTTCTTTTTTTCCTTTTCAATGGTATCGAAGGCCATTTCTATGCGTTGGACTAGTACCTCCCTAGTTGGACCTTACGTGGCGATTACTGGCTCTTTGGCAGGTCCCCAGACATGAAAGTCTAACATATTCAGGTCTGGGGAACGTGGCGGCCATACAATAAGGCCATCGCGCCCAATCCACGCATGTAGGAACACATTGTCGCATATTCTTCGTCATTGAATGTCGCCATTGCATCAACAAAAACGTCAACAAAGCTCAACAATAACACCAAGAGTAACAAACTGAAAGAATCGCGGAGTACGATGAAATGAACATGTTAGGTAGCAGACCCGGTAAACATTCAACATTACATATTTCAATCATATTACGGTTTTCTTCAGACGTCTCGTATATGACGTTAAAATAAGTCAATTGATTGGTATAGCAACAATTGGTCATATGTATCACTCAATTGATACCAAACCGTGACCATCCTATACAAGACGTTTGCCTCATGATAACTTATTGATATCTTATTGTTGATTGAAATGATATGTAAGATGATTTCAATCATAAATATATTTTCAGAATGATAATGATTCTCAAGATCAAAAATATGCGAATATCATATATAAGTTCACGAACATTGCCCTACATTTTTCACATCATCCAAGAAACCGAGATATTACATTTCTCATATTATAATTTTCAATACATCCATATGGGGATGATCGTCTCCATGATCAAAACTTGACCATCTTGAGCAGGACATCAATCTCATGACATTTTACTGATGTTGAATTTTTGATTGAAATGATATATAATGATGGTTCCATCATAACTATAGCTCAAGAACGATGATAATCATCAAGATGAAATATTTGCATATTTTTTCATATATATTCAACAAAGTTGCCCACCTCACGTTATATTTTGACATCATCCAAAAAACCGGAATATTACATTCTCCATATTATAATCTTCAATGAATCCTTATGAAAATGATAGTATTTGATGATCAAATAATGACCATCTTGAGCAGGACATGCATCACATGATATTTCACCAATGTTGAAATTCTGATCGAAATAATGAATGATGATGTTTCCATTAGGGATTTCGCTGAAGAACGATGATCATCCCTTGGATGAAAAATATGCATATATTAAACATGTACTTACTAATTTTGTACTTTCAGCATTCTTTTGACACCATTCAAAACACTTAAATATAATATTTCTCATGTAATGATCTTCAATACATTTTCATGAAGATGATCGACGTCTTGATAGCATTGTGACCATCTTAAGCAAGACATCTATCTCATTACATTTCACTGATGTTGAATGTTTGATTGAATTGATATATTAGAATAGTGTCATGATAGCTATAGCTTTAGAACGATAATAATCCCTGTGATCAAATATTTGCATATATTTAATAAACATATTAGGATGTTGCCCACCTGAAGTTTTTTTGAAATCATCTGAAAAACCGAAATATAACATTTCTCAACATTCTGAATGTTGTAGGCAGTGATGTCTCGACTAAAAAATTATTGGGTCGGTGGCAGTTCGTGATTTGTTCAAACAGATTCACATTGTGCAAGAAATTCAAATTTTACTCGTTTCTGGAGTAACAATTGCGTAAAAATAATTTTTCAGATCATTTTTAATAACAGCCTTATGAGATTTGATTGACATTTCTAGCGAATTTACAAAGTTGTTGAAAGATATTTATGGCATGTGACACATCGTTAGCAAGAGGATAGACTATAGAACTTTTGAGGGAGTTGGAAGATCCTGGTCGCTTTTGTTTTTTTTTGTAGCCATGTAAAGTCACAGCCTTAATTTGAGTTTTAAATATTTCGAAATTTTGCGAGTAAATTAAAAAAGAACTAGATGCCATGTCACTAGTTTCGTATTGAAAAGTACTCTAACACAACACACTTCTGAATAAAATCAGAATTCAGAGTCTACGCCTTATACTTTTTTGAAAATTTGTATTTGAATGTGGAATCTGGGTCTTTTTTTGATAAACAGATAAAAAGACGATGAAAAATAATCCATAGGGCATGAAAAGTGTTAACTAGTCTTAAAGGATAGCAGATGACCCCTTCATTCGACCATTCCAATTTGGCACACGATGCACCAAACACCCTGTATATCAACTCACCTTGACTTCCTCGATCCATCATTAGACTATGGCTGGCTAGTCATGACTCACCTTGTATATCAAACCTTTATATTCGATAGAAACTCAACTACGTGATGCCATTTTCTCACGACGGTCCGCCAATATCCTGCGAACTTCATTCAGTAGATGCAATTCGAAGATACTGCCACTGGTGACTATGGAAAGGATCCAATATCGACATTATGCCTACGTGCTCAGATTCGCAGGAGTCGCAGGACCTTTTCGGCAATTCACTTTACTACATTATTATTACTCACCGTGATTAAAATCTCCTCCCAGGACTGATATTCCGTTTGAATCTATGTTGCGTACGTGCCGACCTGCAATTGGAGAAAACTGTTAGTAAAATGACCTGCTAAAAGTCCAGTGGAAAAATGTTTGCGCCATCGTTAAAATTAATTAGATACTAAAACGTTCCCGATAAAGGCAGGAAAGATATATGAGTCAATGAATTGAAAGTGTTTCCACTCGAGCATGGTAAGAGTTTCAATGCAGCTATGTGAAAAAAGGGATATAACTTTTTCCGACAGGAAATTACAGTGTATTTAAATGAGTTGTGTTTGAATATATGTTGTTGAAGAGTTGGTTATTCTGAAGATCCAATCAAGATTATATAAAACTATTACTTGTGACGGAAGTATGTGCGGAATAATATATGTCCTTTCATATCAGGAATCCGGAGACGACTAACGATTCTCATCGAACAAGTAGTGTTCATAGGTGAGTGAGATGACTCATTGAGGTGAACGAGTATGACAAAGATGGAAAATGATAGAAGGGATGAAATTAAATGATAATTGTATAACTGTGAAATGACATCTTTCAGGATTTAAATGATCATCTTCAAATATCCATCTTTTAACTATAATCTTGTCTCATTTCGAATCTAAAAAATAACAGTTTCGAAACAAAAAGAGTGATTTGAAAGGGTGACCTGTTTCACGTTGAAAACGTGAACTTTTCACGTTCATCAGATGACATTTCATGGTTGAAATGTTTCATTTGGCGGTTATAAGAAGTTTTTAAATAGAGACATGTATAACTGGACTTTTCGCGGTGAACGAGGTTCACCTGAGACAAATTCATCATCATTATACCGGCGTTACATATGTGGGGTCTGATGGACCCCACCCGCCGAATATTGCTTTAAAAATATGCCAAACGTGAACTTATGCATACGCCCCTCCTGATAGCTTCCAAAATATGTCCGCATCATTGAATTCAGACATCACTGCAGTACCTTGTAGACACTGAGTGGAATGGGCTTATATCACAAAAAAAATTTATTTCATAATTCGATAGAACTCGCCCAAACTAGCTCACCACCGCAAACCGTTTCTGGCTGTGAGCTCCCTACGTTTTATAAAAAATTATTGAAATCCCCGTTTTTTCAGACCTCTGAAAACGAGGCGATGATGTGACGTCAAAACCCTAATACTGAAACAAGACTATTCCAGACATAGATGAATGATACATGATTTCTGACAGAGTGAATTAGCGTTTGGTATTTTCTTTTAACTATGGCGAGATGAGGTTTCTACGTCATAAGAGGGTCCGTTTTCAGAAGGTACTATTATTTATGCCCAAAAATAAAATATTCCAGTTATCGAATTATGTCGTCAATCATTATTTATGTATAAAAGGATCATTATGAGTTAAAAGTTCTACTAAGGTGTACACGCCCATTATACGGGACTTAAGTGCTCTGGGGTGTGTCAAACTCCACCTATATACTGACGTTCGTTATTTTGAGACATAATAGGTGAGTTGTTATTCTGGACTATTATGGATCAATTTTTTTTTCTTTCTGTTATTCAAGCTGCAATAATTTTTTTTTCTATATCATCATCATGAAATTCCAGTTTCAGAATGTTCATTCCGGGGTGAGATGTTCATTTAATCTCACATGATTTTTTTTGTCACGGTATGTTTTTTGGTACATGAGAAAGAAGCCATTTTCAGTTTATATCAGATTTCTTGTGATATAGCCTATTTGATTATTTCGTGCGTGTTTTGATTGTTCCTAGATGATGAGACTGTATGTAACAACAAAATATCAGAAGAAAAAATGATTAAAAAATACAAGTAATGGGGTTTGTCACACCCTAAGTCAAGTATGTACTGATGCGACAATTATCCACGTATGTAACGCCGGGTTAAGAAGTTTAAATTTTCAAAGGCGATTTTCTCAAAACGCAGAATTTAGAATTAGACCACTATTGTTCTCAACGTGCGAAATATCATTTCATTATCAGGTCGAAATTTGCATCCAACTCTTGGACATGTTAAAACCGCAACTCTCTATCTCCAAAGAAAACTGAGATATCGCACAAAAGCATCGAAAACTGGACACACTGTGCATCTATCATCTGATCCAGGGCCGGATTAACCCTATCAGGCCCCCTAGGCAATACAATTATCGGGGCCCCTCTCCCCTTCTTTTACCCTTTTTCAATTTTTGAAATACATTTTTTCTATAACAAAAGTCGAGTCGATCAGATCGACTCCTTTGGTATCCTGTTACTTGAATCTCTCGTGCGATATTGTTACAACATGGTTACCTTGAATTGATGCTTCAGCACTGCAACGTGATAGCGCGTATACAAAACAGCGCGTTCTGAAATAGCGCTCATTTCCGTTGTAATTTCAAATGTTTGAATGTTTTCACATCTCAAACATATCTCAATAGCCATTATACCTATCTATCAGTGATTGAATATCCAACTTATAAAGTGAGTCGTTGCGTAGTTGCTGTGAAATAGTTATTTATTATACAAGGGAAAAAAGTAGTAGATTTTAGCTCCAGGTTGTGTTGTCAGACAAAAAACCGTGAGCTGAAATCTAATATTTTTCCCGTGTATAATACACTATTTTTTTCTGTGACAGAAGAAAGGACGAATAAATATTGAGAAGATATCACATTATTTTGAAATCTGAAAATTATCGACGTGAAATTTTCAAGTTTTTAACAGTAGGGACACACCTGCGTTGCAGGCATATTCTTCATCCTTTTGAAGTAATCAAATATCTGATGTCACTTCTATCAGTCCAATCCTGTGATTTGATTTCAAAAAATTGCGAATTTAGTGGTTGTTTAGTAATATACGTAACCGCGAAGTCGAATGGAAGCTAAAAGGACTTGCAGTTCTTTCTCAGAGACTGTATTATTGACTCATTTTTCGGAACTATAGCACAACAAAAGCCATCAACAGTGCTTATCTATGTGATATATATCCCGGAAAAAAGTACTCACGTTTTTCCCACAGGAAAAAAGTAATTTATGAAAAGTGACATTTTATAACCTGCCAACATAGATGAAATGCCGTCACAGAAAAAAAGAATTTCTTCAATAGTACCATGAATACATCATTCGACGTTTCAATTTGACAAGCACCTATTGCCTGTAATCAGTAAAAAAATTACTGGATAAGAAAGCTAATAAAATTGAAAGCTCGTTTATTATCTGTTCGTTCTTGGAATATATTTGCACGCATACAAAAAAAAATTGCCCAGGACAAATAACTCTTTGGAAGCTTGACACAATTCGTTCCAACATTCATTGGATTGCAATCATCCATCGTTTTATAAATTGATTATAATCATCTGAAAAAAGAACAGAATCGTGATCAAGATGGATCAGGAAACAGAAATGAGACGCGACGCGGTTATACAGGGTGTCCCAAAATTAGCCTGCCAAACTTCACCAGCGGCCTCTTCTGCCAAAAATAAGAAGAAAAGTTTCGATAAACCTGAGTCGAGAAATGTCTTCCAAGGGAGCTACGGTTCCCTGAAAGGGGGCTCCTGAAGATGATATTTCCTGAATATTTCCGAAACTCCATGTAATAAAATGATGCAATTTGGTACAAGAACTAAACTTTCCATGCCCAATGAGGTGAATATGAAATTATTCCGAAGTTTCATTCAGGAGTGTATAATAAAGGGTGGGACTACATTAAATATTACTTAAACTTTTTCGTATGCATTTTTTTAACGATTCAACCACACCATCTCACGAAAAAAGGTGCTCGTGTTATGCATCGATCAAATGTATAATTTTCGAGTGAAATCAATTTTAAAATATTGATGTACTCACATCTTATGCATAACGTTGCCGATTTTCAAATCATAGTGGCTATAAATAAATCAAGTATTTTCTTTTTACCAAACAATTTCATAAAAACGCGAAAAATAGAAAAATTATGATGGAAAAATTACATTTTTTCCGTTTCCACTACGCCTCATTGCAATATTATGCATAATATCTGGGATGTTACAATATTTTCAAATTGCTTTCACTCGATAATAATACATCTGGTCGTCACGGAACAAGAGTACCTTTTTTCTGTAAAGAGATGTGAAATTTCATAATCGGAGATCAAATTATTAAAAAATATGCATACAAAAATTTTGAGCAATATTTAATGAAGTCCCACCCTGTATTATACACTCCTGATTGGAATTTCGAAATGATTTGATGGGCATGGAAAATTCATTTCTTGCATTGAATTGCATTTTTTTATCACATGAAGGTTCGGAAATACTCAAGAAATATCATCTTCAGGACCCCCCTTTCAAGGGGCTGTTGCTCCCTTAGGAGAAATTTCACGACTCATGTTCATAGGAAGTTTTCTTTCTATTTTTGGTAGTAAAAGCCGCTGGTGAAGTTTGGCAGGCTAATTTTGGGACACTCTGTATAATAATGATTCGGGAATAATATTGAGGGAGTATACACTTTTTCAAAAACAAACTCGTTCAATGAAACGTTTTTTTTTGTTCGTGCACGGGGCCCCTAGGCAGTTGCCTAGTCCGCCTTATGGATAATCCGGCCCTGATCTGATCGCCTGGTAGTTCAGAATAGAATAGAATAGAATAGAAATGAACATTTATTACCCTTTTGCCATGTACATGTAGGTTCGCCAGATACATTTTATGAAACACAATACATAAGTTATTCGAGAAAACATTTAACATTTAAAAGATATATACATTTTAGGCTGGTTAGCGACAGATACAGAATATAATGTAGTTATAATGTAGTTAGTTATGTAACGTTGAGTTAGGAAAATGCACAGATAGGTGGTAATCATTTCATGGATGTTAAATGCATTTGAAATTCAGAAACATCATAGAAACTATTTGAGGTTAGAATTTTTTTAAGATCAGTCTTGAATTTCTTCAGAGATTGATTTTTTATTGATTCAAACAGTGAGTTGTAGAGATGACTCCCGCTATATTTCGGAGATTTTTTGTACTCCATATGATGAAACTTTTCCATATAAATATGATTGTAATTTCTAGTGGTGTATTTTTGAATTTCTGA